CCAAGATATTCAAAGTTTTTCACCTTTAAATGAGCAGCTCGATTTAAAAGATAAGGTATATCAAAATTATTTATATTATAGCCTGTTAATATATCCGGGTCAATTTCCCGCACAAAACTCGACCAGGCATCTAGTAGTTCAGTCTCTTTGGGAAAACAACGAACATCGGAACCAACGATGGGCGCACATTTGTTCAAGGTAAACACGTTTCTTATAAACGGCTCTGGGTCGCCCTGCCGTATTACCATGTTTGCAATCTGTATAACTGGATCCATTTTGGCTTCGGGAAAAATACCTTTGCGACCAGCGCACTCAATGTCAAAAGAGAGAATGCGAAAAGGTGCCACTTTTGCCCATTCTCCTTCGGGGTCATGTGATACGAACTTGTCATATGCCACATCTACTTCGATTTGGCAACGTGACTCAGGTAAAGGTTTTGAATTTTTATCCCGAATACGCCAAGCCCCTGCAGGTAGCTCAATCCAGTTGCAACCCACTACATGTGTGTCTACCATAAATCGTATATCAAAATCGATATTGCTCTCGAAGGCACGGCAATCCTGAAAATCAAAGTCAGACAACACTATCTGATTGGAAAGTAGACGCACAGATGCTGCCACCAATTTAGGCATTGTTACTGTTATCTTTATATAACGCTGCAGCGCATCGCCTTGATAACCAAAAATGTTTAGACGTTCTACAAGCTCAACTTTTAACACAGCTTCCTGCACGTTATTCTTGTTACTGCGCATATCGGCCAGCACCTTTTTGTCTAAAGCTTCACGCAAAGCATGGCAATGATTACGTTCGAAACTGCGAGGTGCGGCAATGTAGAAATATGGACAAAAACCATGCACATGGCAACACACTGAGTTGCCCTCCATAGTAATACCAAACATACGAATTATTGGTACTGGTCCAATTTGCGCTCCGGGCATGCCTGGCAAAGGTTCGCCCAAATAATTTTCAATGTCAATCTGCTGAAATACTAATTCATCGGAAGAAGGGTCTAATTTAGGTGGATCAACACGAGACCATTTCACGGAGGTTTGTTGATTTTCTGGCCCTTCGCCTACTAAGATGCTTGGATCTACATCTTCACCAAAGGCGTCACCCGCTATATCAGCATCCATGCCATCGAAGTCATCATCCTCTTCATCGTTCCTAAAGAAAAATACCAAATTTTCAATGGAATATTTCCATAAGCAGCATCAACAAACCATTGTTTTTGCTGTTTTCCTCCTGCTGCTTGACCATTTCTTGCAATATTGCCGTTCGCTGGATATTTTCGTTTACCGGAAAACCCACTCATTTTGAACTAAAGTATCGCCCAAAGCAGATATTTTTCAGTGTCCACAAAAATGTATGTCAAGAAGATTGCGCGCCTTGTTTTTTCTAGGATTGTTGATATTTTATCGATAGCTTTATCGAAAATATTGCTCGATATAAAAAGCAAATTTTTGAAAAAATATTGTTACGATTATCCTTGAACCCTCGTCCGGATTACCCAAATATACTGGGCTCGTATCGCTGGATTGTTAAATAAATGCTAACGATGACCAAATTGTAGTACAATTAACTTTATTGTACAACAAACAATTTACAATACTTGCTAATACAGTAAAAACACTTTACAATACTTGTTAAAGCAATAACAACGCTTTACTGCTTGTTAACACAATTAAACTTATAGCTTGCTTATTCGCAACCCAATTCTCCGCTCACTTTACTTGTAGCTTGCTGACTTGTAACTAAAGCTGATGCCAGATAAAACTTTGTAGCTTTGCGTGACATTTATAACTTTGCCAGCAAAGCGCCAGACGCAAAAGGTATGCCACAATGAACGCCAAGAAAACAATGTTGTACCGCTTTTTTACTCATCAAAGTTGCTGTGGATTTTAATTATTTTGATTTAAAATTATCAGCAATGTAATTAAGTTTTATGTTTCTGCATGAAAACCCGAATTTGGACGAAACAAAATAAATATTAAACCGGCTGATTGTCAAAGCGCGCAAAAAGATGGGAGTTGACCATCTTTTCGCTTCGCGCTGCCGCTTCAACGATTTATGTGGCATGCTTTGTGCATTTTCATACAATTCATCTTATCTGTCAAAGCGAATCTGTCACGTAAAGCGAAGCAAAAGTTTTATGTGACATCAGCTTTACTCAACCCCGCTGTGTCGTGGCTCTTATATACCTGCGCTCACACTT